AAAGAAAGAAAGAAAAAGTTCTTTATATATGGTCCATTTCTCCTTAGGATAGTAATTTGTTTGATTCATCAAGATAATTTCAAATATTTAATATAACTTTGTATAGTCAATTATTTTTAACTAGTATGTGTGACTTATTTTAGGTTTATATATTAATAGCCTTTTATATCTAAATTAGCCTTTTAATATTACTTCAAATAACTGACAATGGTTGGTTTTATTTGTGTCACCTTAGTTTATGCTGTTTTGCTTTTAATTCCTTCTTTCCTTTTCCTATGTCTTTTATTCTTTATGTTTTGTTTTTTTCATAGTTATGTATATTTGTGTATGTACAAATTTGAACCTATTTTTTAAAGTTTTTTGTAACAGGTGCATGTAAAAAGAAATGGCAAATTCACCTTCTTTCCTGTAGTTCCCAGTTTCTCTCATATTTCAAACTTTTTTTCCTTATATTCTGCGAGGATTATTTTCTTCCTTCCACCCTACATTTTCTTCATAGGAAGGGACTTTGTTTAATGTTTGTTTTTATTTTCACAGTTACTTTAGCAAGCTCTTAAGCCAGGTACTATGTATCCACAAGTTTCTTAATCTCAAGACATTTATTGAATGTTATGCTGTTCCCCCATTCTCAGATTCTTTATTTTGATTTCTTTCCCCATGAAATGCATCTTCATTTTTTAAAGCCACCCACATCCACCAATGTCTTTCTCTTCCTCTTCCCTCCTGGGTACTGACAGCTTGGACACATAGTGTATTTGGGGGCTCATAATTTTTTTTCACATAGCTACATATTTTATTCATTACTTTTCCTGGCATCTGTTTTGTATCAGTTTGATTTTCCTGTATTTCAATATCTTGATTTTCCTTCCTAGACACTTGTCATAGTTTTCTTCCATCCTGGATGGGACTTTTTATTACTTTTACCTGGAACTGATGAATATTTTTGCATTAAAGCCTCAAATAAGGAATATATTCCTGCAACTATTGCAACTATTATATCTGGGTCTATTCAATTCTCTTGTTCTGGCTTCTTTTTATTGCCTCCAATGACAATTTTGATTTTCTAGTCATAATTTAAATTTTCTTTTCTCTTTGTTTTTATTTCAATTATTTTCTCCAACAGGTGCTGACTTCTGCTTAAAGAAAGTCATGTTATCCTGCATCTTCTTGAGAATCCTAATCCCTGAAATTTTCCTATAAATAAATATGATATCCATATTCAATAATGTTAATAATTTAATAATAATTTAATATCAATAATGCAATATTTCAAAGTAATATTCCCTTGATTTATGCTGAATTACTTTTTTAAATTAAATCATAGCTGTGTACATTAATGCAATCATGGGGTACAATGTCCTGGTTTTATATACAATTTGAAATACTTTCATCAAACTGGTTAACATAGCCTTCACTGCATTTTCCAAGTTATTGTGTTAAGACATTTATATTCTATACCTAGTAAATTTCACACGTACCCTTCACATGCACCATAGGTGTGGTCCCACCAATCACCCTCCATCCTCCCATCCCCCCTTTCCCTCCCTTCCCTCTCCCCTTTCCCCATATTCTTGGGCTATAATTGGGTTATAGCTTTCATATGGAAGCTATAAATTGGTTTCATAGTAGGGCTGAGTACATTGGATATTTTTTCTTCCGTTCTTGAGATACTTTGCTAAGAAGAATATGTTCCATATCCACTCATGTAAACATGAAAGAGGTAAAGTCTCCATCTTTTTTAAGGCTGCATAATATTCCATGGTGTATATATACCACAATTTATTGATCCATTCATAGGTCAACGGGCACTGGGGCTTCTTCCATGACTTAACAGTTATGAATTAGGCTGCAAGAGACATTCTGCTACAAATATCTTCATTATAATGTGATTTTTGGTCTTCAGGATATATAGCTAGTAGAATTGTAGGATTGAATGGCAGGTCTATTTTTAGATCCCTAAGTATTCTCCAAACATCTTTTCAAATGGAACTATTAGTTTGCATTCCCACCAGCAGTGTAGAAATGTTCCCTTTCTCCACATCTACACCAACATCCCTGGTTTGGGGATTTTATGATGTGGGGTTAGTGATATCTCAAAGTAGTTTTGATTTGTATTTGTCTAATGATTAAGGATGGTGAATATTTTTGCATATGTCTATAAGCCATGCACCTGTCTTCTTCAGAGAAGTTTCTCTTCAGGTCCCTTGCCCACCCTGAGATGGGATCGCTTGTTTTTTTCTTGCTAATATGTTTGAGTTCTCTGTGGATTCTGGTTATTAAACCTTTGTCGGAGACATAACCTGCAAATATCTTCTCCCATTCTGAGGGCTGACTGCTTGCTTTACTTAATGTGTTCTTGGCTGTGCAGAAGCTTTTTAGTTAGATCAGGTGCCTGTAATGTATTTTATGCTGAATTACTTTTTTGTAAGTCACATATCCTTGTTACTATTTTTTAAATGTGTCTCTGATTCTTCATAGTCACAAATCTATCCAGATCTAGAATTCTCTTCTACACCTATATCATGGAAAAATTCTATTTTTTGTTTTAAAATAAAATTGAGAATTTTAAAAATATTTTTTCCAATAATTACATTAAATTGTGACGCTTATCAATATAATTTTTAATATTTTGAGCTTACTGTCATAGTTTAGCCTTATCTTTAGCTTCCCAGAGACCCAGGTTTGAGACACAGTAAATGTGGTGGTAAAGAACATGACCTCTGGGTCCGAATTGTCTACATTCAAATCTTAGCTACTTCTGCCACATAGTGTGTAATTTGGACAAGTTTTTAAACTCTTAGTTCTTGAGTTTTCTTATCTACAAAAGGGGATTAAGAATACTTGTTACTTCGTAATGGTTTAAAAAATAAAAAAGTATAGTATTTATAAAATACGTAGAATAATCTGGGACATAGTGAATGCTATACAAATATTGGCTGACAAATTCTAGCTCTGCCACCAACTGAGTAACTAAAATGGATTTGATAATGCTTACTAATACAATGAATGCAAATATTAATCAATAACTTCTAATGCTAATTGATTATTAATACTGAGATGATTTAAATGAAATATCACCACATAAAAGCAGACAGCTTGATGGCCACTGTCTTCTCATAATCTAGTGCATTAGGACTATGCATCCAGGGACTATGCTACATTTAATTGGCTTAACTGAGCACTGCAAGTCTCTTCATGCCACAATTTCTCTATTATTAAATTTCTTAAATTTAAATTACTTTACAGATGCACAACTCCAGAGGGATTAAGTTACAAATTCAAAGACACATTGTCAGTGTAGATGAAGGGATTTGCAGCAAGGTCAATTAGATTCTGCTTTTAATCTTTTTTTTTTT